AACGATTCCCCCCCCCCCCCCCCCTCTTATGTGTCAAGCCACTGCCGTAACACACTGCCGCAGCAACGACGAATGCACCCCCGAATGTATCACGCTCTTTCTGGTGATACCTGTTTATACTTTTTTTTTACTGCCATCCTCCCCTCCCCATATTACTTGGCCCATCACAACCGCAGATTTTTTTTTTTCGATTCGATCGCGAGTCTTGCAAAAAAAAAAAAAAAAAAAAAAAGATCTGTATACACATGTATATGTAAAGACACGGCCTTACAGTGGGGTGGTGGCGGGCGCGGTAGCCAGGCCTGCCGTCGGCGCCGTTGCTATCGAGGGACTCTTGCCGGGCGGTGGGTTCCCGCTCTGCGCCGGGCTGCTCGTGCACACCTTGTTCTTAACCCTCGGCGACTTGTCCTGCTGCTGCTGCTGCTGTTGCTGCTGCTTTTGCTGCTGCCTGCACTTTGCCCGGCGATTTTTAAACCAAACCTGCGAAAATACCGATGATGTGTATACACATATTCTCGACCATTGGAGCGAAAATGAAAAAAATAAAAAAAATAGAAATGCTAGTGTATATGTGTACAGAGGAAGCGTACGAGTAACGGAGCGCACTGGCATCATCGATTCTTCAATTTAGCGAGGGCAAAGAAGAGGAGGAGGTGGCGGGCGCGTAGGAGAGCGAGAGAAGCCCCGCGCGATCAATGTTAGGCGGCTGGCAGCCCGATATGCAAGCTTGGGTTTCTCTCCTCTAAGGATTTTCTGGGGAACTCCGTCGCCGTCGCCGTCTACTCGACGTCGCTTTTTTTTTTTACCCGTTATATACCTGTACGTGCATTTTTCAACAGATAGGCAAAGATACACACGACACCCCCGCACTCTACGTCGTGCCTGGCGTTCTTTCACTCCGAATTTCTCGTGTTTCACTCGCCACTGATTTTTCTCGGCGCAACATTCCCTCGTCCACGTATAGCTCTGGCCCTGACTTTTTTTTTTTTTTTTCCACCCTCTCTCCGTTGCACACGTATTGCACGACTATACAACATCCCACACGGTAAAAGAGTGCATTTCTTGTTCCCTCCCGCCATAGGCGAGAAATCGAGGGCGAAACGAGTAAATGAGATCATATATATATGTACGTGCATGTTGTAAAGAAAACGTGCGCGAGACTATGCCGAGGCGGTACACGCGTATACACGACAAAGGGACCCCAGGTGTTCGGGAGTTGTTGATTATGCCGGGGCACGAGTTTGACTTTTTGACGCGCGCGTGTCTCCTACGCCGCCGATTTTTTTTTTTTTTTTTTTTTTTTTTTTCCAATCGGGGTATCGTATGCTCTTTGACTGCCGTTATTTCCGATATGCCATCTCGGACGACGCGGAAAAACTAAAAAAAAACTATCAAGTGGGCAAACACTTGTCTCTGGCCGCCCACGGCACCAATTCCATTCGAGTCTCTCTGCTCATCCGTGCACGTGAGGGAGGGGGTAACTCACGTAATAATAAAAGTAATCTCCCTCTCACCTGTAAACGACAATCGTGACGGCTATGACGAGGGCAAGGCCCGTCCCGGCTGCCGCCCCCAGCACGGCCGACGAGACCATCATCCTTCCTTCCTTTGATTGCTTGTTTATTTATAGCTCCGGTATAAATGGCACTTTCGTCTGGCGCGTCAATTGCAGCCCATTTACTCGACGGCGGCTCGTACCAGCCATGACCACCTCTTTCTTCTTTATTACTTCCACTGCAATTCGATTAACAACTTTGGTTATTATTTTTAAGGATATCCCGTGGCGCGATGTTAATATCAAACAATACGTATGCGTGGAATCAAAGTATGTACATATATGTAAACGACTCGGATGGCTTGCCGGCGAGCAATGAAGCGGCGCTCGCGGGTGTAATCGAGTTACGTCCCCGGCCTCCCCGGCGCGAGTACAAACGCCGATAAATCACAAAGAGGTAAAAAAAATTAACAAAAAGAAGCAACGTATATAATATAGGTGTGGCAAAAACGACCGAAAAAAAAAAAAAAAAAAAAAAAAAACACCAAGTGCGTGGGCGCGCGGAGTTGGAGAGCCGCCGATATAACATAGGGAACGAGCAAACATATGTTCGAGCGAGCAGACGCGCGCTTGATTGCAAAAGGGCAAAAACAGGAGAGCAAGGGATGGAAAGGGTTGGACAGCTGGCCTCGTAAATTCCCCGGCCCGTTTACCGGGATAAGCCGGGCCGATCGATATTGTAAACTGGTGTCGTCGCCAGCCCAACAGCCCCTCGCTACATTTTTTTTTCCCCGATATGGATCACACATGCACGTATATTTGATCACATCGAGAGTGAGACATCAACAGTCACTTTTTGCAAAGTTGATAAAATGACGGTGTAAAATTAAAAAAAAAAAAAATATGTATATATTATATACGTATGTATTAAGAGAAGGTGGATTTTAATTACCGCAACCAGTTGTCATTGGAAGGAAGAAGAAGAAAAAGGGGAGAAGAAGAAGAAGATAAGCGATAGAGCGTCCGTGCGATACAGCGGCTGGTGTGCCATCGGGGCTAGCCGGCTGGGTGGTTGGTGAGCGACTGTGCCCGCGTCTCTCGGGCGCAAATGTGTATCTTGGCGCGCGCCGCTACCCCCCCTTACCAGAGTGGCGCGAGGCCCGTGACAGACGGGGAAAAAAAAAAAAAATATACATCGCTTACCTCTACACCCCTTCCTTCGCGCTGCAACGCGGAGGATAGAGCGCGCCCGGCCCGCCCACGCTCTCTATGTACCTTATCTCTCCGGCCTCTATCTCGATCCACCCACTCTGTGATGTACACACACACGTACCTTCCGATAGCGCAAGTAGGTACACAACTACAGCCAATTTCATTGCGTCAAAAAAAAAAAAAAAAAAAAAAAAAAACACAATCTGTCGTGCACCTGCTTCTTTGGTTATTCTCTGTTGTTTTTTTTTTCCTCCCAACGCTATCGCGGGCGAAAAATCATCAGGTCCATTAGCCGTGCACTCAGGAGCTGTTTTTTTCCTTTTCCATGGTATGACGCGCTCTGGTGGAATAAAAAACGATGATGTTGCCTCTGGCCATCTGTGTCGCTCAGCCACGCTTGTTTGCCGATCCTATCGCCGACGGGTGCTTCCCGAAAACTCATGGATTATTGACACACGCCGCTCGCATGAAGGATCCAACCGGTTCGTGTATTGTTTACCATGACTGTTTGTTTATTTGTTTTTTTTTTTTTTTTTTTTTTTTGTCATGTATATAAATCGATTTCCATTCATACAAATAATACGTGAAATAGTTGTCCTTCCGGGGTTGTGGACACATCGTGGCTTTTTTCCCTCTGCGTGCAAGTAATGGCCGGAAAGTCACGAGTTTTCTTTGACTCACCCGAAACGCATCTCCAACAGTTGAAAATTCGCCGAAAATGTGGAGGAAAAGGAAAATATTTTCTTTTTTTCTCTCTCTCTCGATGTGAAACAGAGTCAAGGTGAACGTGCTTACATCTCAACATGATCCCCAAGCGAGGACGACTCTCGGTTCTCTTGGGTGTGTATTATGAGTTTCACGAAAATCGTCCTTGCCGAAGTGGGCGGGGGGGAAAGGCCGAGCCCTTGAGCTGGAAAAGAAAGATTTTCGTTCCTCCCGAAATTGCCTTGGACCCGCGCACTACCTGTGCGCGCCTTACACGTGCAGGAACCCACGCTCGACTGCATTGGTATTCAGGCTAGGTCCGTTAATTTTTCCGAAAGTTCGTTACAGCCGTTGTACGTGGTAGCGGATACTCTCGAGACGCAGGGGGAAAAATGGGACTTTCCGCCCCACCCCCCCAAAACAGAGTTCTCTGGAACAAAAAAGAAGAATCCCCCCTCCCCTCCCCCCTTGGGTACGATATACATGCTCGCGCGGAGCCAACAATCGTTTGATCGCGTCTCGGGTGTGGTATTTTTATTTTCCCCCGGTATCCTCCTGGAAAACGCAGCTTGGGCTATTAAGAGGCTATATATCCGCGGTGCTGCGAGAGAATTAAATTTTTTCCGTCCCCCTTAGCGCTGGGAAGAGAATCGAACGGGAAATTGGCTGATGTGGCGTGCAGACGCGCGCGATGATTGAATTTTCCCCTCGACTTGAATCGAATTTCTTTTTTTTGATAGCGAGAGTTCGTTTTTTCAGAGCAGATAGATTTTTCCTCGCTATGGGCGTAAAAACGTCATGGACAAAGAAAATATACCGCCGACGTAATGGTCGATTGTTGTTTTCCGATGACGCCCAATTTCGTTCGTCCCCGTCATCGACCCATTAGCCATCACCTCTCGGCCGACAATCGTTGACGCAAAAAAAAAAAAAAAAAAAAAGATGTATCGTACAACCCCACGGGGTAATGGCAAAGAAATATTCAACCCCTTTCTCGAAAGAACAGCACGACCAAGCAACCCTCTCTTTCAAGCCGTAACGGTGCCGGCTGACTATACCCGTGCTCGTACTACTTCGAAAGAAAGAAAGAAAAAAAAAAAAAAGGAAGAAGGAACGTATCTTTGCGCGCACTCGTTGTTCGGCGTACTTATTCCGTAGTCGGACACAAAAAACGCGCGAGCTCGATATACGTGCAAGGAGCGGTAAAGGCGGGGGTGGTTTTCACCCGCCGTTAGGTGGCGCTGGGGTTCCTCTCCCCCCCTTCACAGTCCAGCCATCAGCGCTCCAGAAGCCCCAGACAGACGGGCAGTCAGCCAGAGGTGCAGAGCCACCCTCGGCCTCAGTAGCCCTCTCGGCCTCCCCCCGAGAGTAAGCTCGCGCGCTCGTGCATGTGTCCGTGAGTGTGTGCAAGTGCGTCGCTGCACACCTTGTGGGCTATACGATGATACCAACCTCTTTATCCTGCTTCTGCTGTTGTCGACGTAGTACAGCGTTGGCCCAACAAGCTACCGTCCCTGAATTAACGAGGATACATCCCCATCGTTGGTGAGACGTGCGGTGTTTTTTTTTTTTTTTGTTTTGTTTGTTTTTTCTCCCCAAGAACCAGTGGCCGACAAACGCAGCGATCGATCGGCTATTACGCACACACGCACCCCACCCCCTCCCACGTGCACGTACACTTGCGCTCTACCTCGTCTCTGTATATGATACCCGTGTAAGGGTAGTTGCCGACAGCAACAACAACAACAATACGGTATCGAGGACGACTGTAAGCAGCACGCGCCACAAGGTAAAAATCATCCAAAAGTCTATTTTTAATAGTTTCTCTCTTTTTTGTTCGTTTTTTTTTTTTTCACTCGCAACGAGTAAACTCCTTCGCGGGGGAGGGTTTTGCAGTCGCGAGCTATTTCGAGGCAAACGCAACGATATATTCCCGGGGACGATCCGACACTACATAGATGTCCGCCAGTGTCTCGGCTGTATCTACTTTAGCGCGGACACGACAAGCACGTGCTCGTTTTGTACTGTTGCTCCGCACCTCTTTCACCCTAGTCACCCCCAAACGAGGCCAGTAGTTCTTCTTTATTGCAATGCACGACAAACACGGACATGATATTATAATAATCATGTTGATACACTTGCGTCCCATTGAATTGCACATGTGAAAGGTATCTCTCTCTCTCTCTCTCTCTCGAGGCTGCAGTCGCGTTAATGGTAATGACAGTCGGGTGGCCTTGCTGACCGAGTGATCGTCGCGAGAGAGAGAGAGAGGAAAAAGCGAGAGTCAGCTTTAGGCGCGAAAAACGAAACGAGGTGGCGGAAAGTGGGAAGGGGAGCACGTGTCCCGCGAGCGCGTGAACGTGCAGGTATATGGACGTTGTGTAGAGAGAGACAATGGGTAGAAGAAAGAGAGGAAGAAAGAACGAGGCCGTGGTAGCGGAGGGGAGGTGGGAGGCCTAGATCGATAATCGCAGGAAGAGGCGAAGGAGACAGGTACTGCTGCTGTTACAGGCTCGCAGCCTCCGCGTGTGCGCTACACCCGCCCGATACGCCTATATGTACACCCACGAGCCTCCCTGCCGAGCTCGAGCAACATGGTATATTACGTGCACAATGGACCTTTTTTTCTTCCCCCTCCCCCACCCCCGACTCCTCTTACTTCTCGTCTCTTTGACGCTTACGGCTTCAACCCCCCCCCGCCCCCCCTTGTGCATCACGGCACGTTCAGCTGCACATTGATCCAAGACGACGCGATGTATCTCCTAATTAGCCCCAATACATCGCCCTCGCTCGTGCCCCACGGCGTATGTACGTGTATTTTTGTCCCTCCGTGCAACCCCACCACCGTCTCATCAGCTCGTAGCCACATCCTCTCACGAGCCATTTGAAGGTTCGTCGCTGGCAATAATCGAGGATGGAGATGTGACGAATAATGTGTAACGGCGCGGGCGGACGGCCGGGGCAAGAAGAGCCGACTATGAATGCTAACGAGAACAGAGTTCGGGGCGGGGAGTGGGATACTTGGTATGGATGGGCATGCAAATGAGAGCGCGGGGATGGCTTTGGGAGTTTTGATGTACTTGTATAATATATACTTATACAGTTGATGGATGGTTCGTTGTAATTTCAAAGTTACGTGTGTCCCGATACATACGTATATGTATATTTATGCACTGTGCGCACACGGGGTCGGTGCGTTACGATTTTACTGGCTTTTTTTATAGTAGGTGAAGTTTTTTTTTTTTTTTTTTTTTTTTCTGACAAAAATAAGGTTTTTCTTGTCAGAATGAAAAAAAACCAAATTTGTTTTCTCGTGTATCTTGACTCGTGGACCAATGTATTGCTTTTCCTTTCCCATCGGGAAATGAATGATCATCAAGACCTAAGGATTTTGGCTAAACAAAGTTCACAATCTACGAAAAATGATGTACGGATGGTATTTTTCAAGATAAGGGGAGGGAAAAGAAAAAAGAAATTTCACTCCAAGGCTTGATAAAAACGAGACCGTATTTCTTGCGATCCAACCCCGATGCGCAACACGTTCAACTGGATCCTCCACATCGTGTACACGATTATCATAAATACACTTGCCCATATACGATATGTACACGGATCGAATATACATATACATGCACATACATCATATAAACTTGGATGGATGAATTCAATACCTACGCAGTCAATCAGCCAAGTTGTTGTTGCTGTATCTCTCTCTCTCTCTCTCTACAGGCTATGTATGAGCTTCGCACTCGTACTCTTTTGGTCCATACGTCCTAGTTTCTCGTCACGCGCGCCCCTGCCCGTCTATGATACATTGCTACGTAGTTATAGGCGTTTTTTTCTCTCTCCCCCCCCCTTGCATGCAAGAGAACAGGAGGCACGCGCGTACGTCTACTCGGGTAAATCTCCACCCACGGGACTCACACGGCAAGTCACGAGGGAAAATAATCACCTCGATCGAATAAACGCGCGTACAATATCAAACGGGACGAAAAAAAGTCCCACCCCCCCTCCTTTTCTACTTCGTACATGTATATATACGCAAAGCGCGAGCCGGAGAGGATCTCGTTAGCGGCTCACCGATGTATAAGTACATCCACTGTATATGATGAGGAGGAGGAGGAGGGGGGGGGGTGTTAAGAAAATGAGGAAGAATAATGATGATAAAAAAAAGTGTAAGCTGTTGAAGCGCGCCGTGCGATGCACGTGACCCAAATCGCAATGTGAGATGGTAAAACCCCCCGGTCGAGCAAACCAGGCTCCCCTTGATGAATGATAAGTTCCTCCCTCCACGCTTTGTCCCTGTTTTATTAAATTTGAAAATCATCCGAGTTCCCCCCGGGCCATACATTTACATCCCTGCCAAGCGGAGAAAGGGAGCGTGCCCCACGGCACGAACGTCACTAATTAAGAAGGGAAAAATCTTGGCTCGCTCTGGTATACACGCCGCTGGATCCCATCACTTGGAAGGCTTATCGGTCAAAGGGAGCCTTCCTCCCACGGCACCCGTGTCTATACGTATACGCAATGCGCCCTGCTGGCGTTGGGCCAAAAAACGCGGGCGCCCGAGCGACGGCTAATCTATATACATATACACCTTCCCTCTGTCCCCGTGTACTCTATACGTATCGTCGCGTGTCTCTCGTGTCATTGCCCCGTGCCGGGGGCATCTATGGGCTGAAAAATTAAATTAGAGCTCGAATCGAATTTTCATGCGCGCACACGTGTATTCATCAATGCGGGTGTACGTGGTATATTATACACACAGCCCGCCTGAGCGATGCAAAAAAAAAACAATATATATATATACGTACATCGAGAGCGCGCGTGCTTCCCTCCGAGCGTCAACAAGGCACGTATAGTCGATCCGAGTGCTTCTTCTTGTCTCCCTTTTTTTTGCCCCTCCCCCGTCACTTGTTCAAACCCATCGTTATTTTTTTCGCAAAGCGCCTCTGAAATTTTAATCAGTCGTTCAACCGAATTTACCGAGGACTTTTTTTTTTTTGTTTTTTCAATCAAAGGTGATATATCCATTTACGAGACCGGGAGGTGGAGGAGGAGAGGAAAAAACCCCTAACGCAAACAATGCCTCAAGCACCGTGAGAGTCGACGATGGGCTGGGCACTCGGAGGCTTCGGCGTCATCGTCCTCCTCGTACTGGCTGCCGTAGCCGCCTTTGTCTACTACAGAAGGTGAATATATTATACGCACATGTATTATAATATACTCGAAAATAAATGAAATTTCATGGATTGTCCCCTCGGGGTAAACAGGTACTCGGTGGGTTGGCAATGCGGGCCCCGGGACGTGTGGATCGTCTGCGAGGAGTGGCGGCGCAAGCTCGCCTGGCTGTGGGCGCCGCGCGAGGAGAAGGTACCTATGTTATACCGTTTTGATTATTACTTTTTTTTTTTTCTCGCGTATTAATCCCATTCCGTTCGATCAGGTCGGTCTGGTGAAGGCCCAGCACCCGACGGCTCAAGCCGTGCCCGGCCTGTACCGGCAGTCCAGCGAAAACTCGGCCCAGTCCATGATGCACAGCGACAGCGATCTACGCTTGGACGCCCAGGGCGCGTTCACGAGGTCAGTAGCCCGTGCTTTTTTTTTTTTTTTTTTTTTTTTTTTCTCCCCCGCAGTCTATTATCGAACACACTCTTTTAATCCCGTGTACGCGATGGGTTGAACGCAACTGTAAATGACTTTCGTCACGCGATTTGAGCAAAAGAGTTGACAAAGAAAAAAAAAAAAAAAGAGTTTCTCGCTCGAGCTTGTGATTGAGGACAACCCGCAAAGCTTGGCATTGTACACTGTATGCGCTATCAGTTTTTCGAGGAGATAAACCAGAAACTTTTGTTCAGTCGAAGCTCGTGGTAATCTATATTTGAATTTCATGAATTATGCACCCAATGACTTACAAGACTTGGGTACAATTATTTTTATGGATTGTTAAATGGTTCGAGGGAAAACTTTTTTTCTCCTCCCCGATTAGGATGCATTTTATTTGCTATACATTTACATTTTTTTACGATAAATTTCATCTATGAGTATTTCATGTCAAGTAAAAAACTTTACTGTTATTTTCCTTCAAATTGTCTCTTTTCTGTCTGGAAATTATTATTATTATTATTTATTTTTTTTTTTTGAAGTACAGCGTTAGAAAAATAGTCTGAAATGATGCAATTACAATTTTGGAAGAAACAAAAATGTATGCATAAAAGACGATTTTCACGAGATGAATAAAGCTTTGTCGTCCCGAGTAAGCGATAGAAATAAAGACTGATCCGTTAGGTGGATGTACCAATACTCGCTCACTTGAGCAGACAAAATGTCCCCCAATAGCTGGTCACTTTTTTCTTTCATAGGCCTTTGTTGTATTTTCAATTGGGTTTACATTAAAAGAATCAGCCAAATGATCGACTATTGGGACATGACCAAGTACCGAGACATGGACCTTATAAAAGAAAAAATTAATGAAAAAACGCAGGTTCGAGGCGGTGGACCGGGACTTGCACCCTCCAATCAGCAACGCCGTCCAAGCACCCGGCACGAATGACTCAACTTCGATACCCGAGCAACAGCAGAGCATACCACCGCAGCCCCTGCGCCCGGCGCCCCAGCAGCCACGCGCTACCCCTCGACCGCGACCGTCGCCTCTGCGCGCCCCAAATACCATCGACCACCTCAGGCTACGCGAGTGCGACTCGTCCCCCCTGACTCCCCCGCCACCGGCCCTACCCACGGCCCTCGGCAGACTTGGCCGAAGCGCCCCCACCGTCTCGGCCTTCCACTTCCAGCAGCCGGACTCGCCCTCCCCGCCCCCGCTCCCACCACCTCCCAACTTCTCCTCGAGGGCCGACTTTGTCGCCGAGGGCCTCAGAAGGAGCGCCCCCATCGTCTTCCAGGCCCCGGCCAACCACCTCGACTCGTACGTACCCTCACACACCAATAACTTACTTTGCCCCATAATCCATTATACACGTAAATTAAATGATCCAACAGATTGGGCCAAGACCCGTTCGAGGAGGCCCAGAGGCAGTTGCATAGGTACGGCTCGGCCCTGAGCGAGCCCCTCTTCGACTCGGCCAAGTCGCCCCGCGCCGACATCATCGGTAGCATCGACCTTCCGGACAACGGGGACGCCAGCCCACCCCCGCGCTATGCCAACTATGATCTGCTGAGCAGCCAGCCAGATTTTGGGCACCGGGGCAGCCGCAACAACCTCCAGGACCTCGAGCGCATAACCCGTTACATTCAGAGTCTGCCCGACGTGCCCCCCGGGCCCGCGGATGGGGACATGTTCGAGCACCCGGGGCCGACCACGGATGACGAAGGGGATGACGACGAGCCGGCGAGTCCCGCAGCCGCCCCACCACCTCCCGCCCCGCCTGACCCCCACCCCGGCGAGGAGCAGCAGGTCGTCTCGCACGAGCCCACCACCGGGGAGAAGATCTTCAAGGCTCTGAGGGCGGTCACCTCGCAGAGCTACATCGACGCCAGCGAGTTTTACAAGTATGAATCACAGCTTCCCCTTTGTCTTTGTTGCGCTGTAGAGAACAATAAGGGCTTATACGTGTATGTAGGGGTCGGAGGGGTAAAGTGGGTCGGCGAACTTTGTCCTTTTTCCCTCAATTTTTTTTTTTTTTTCCTCTTTAAGAGCTCCCGAGACTCCGATGGGAGAAAACCGAGTTTTTTTTGCTCCGTTTCAAAGTTTTGATGACTTTCGAGTCACTTTTTTTTTTCTTTTTCTTCGCGGTAGGGGCGAGACGACAAATATAAACTTTGGTTTGAAAAACAGCTCGATCCTGACGTCGGCCCAGCAGAGCCAGGGCTTCGGCTCGTCGGCGGACAAGCTCGGGGATTCCCAGCGGAGCGCGAGCGACGCGCGGCTCTTTTCCGCTTACGCCCCGAGCGAGGTGGCCCGCAAGGCGTGCGACCTGTTCAGTCCCGAGTTGAACCAAGAGGCTCAGCGGACGGCTCAACAGGTATAGGCCACGTCACTACCTATCGATTTTCTTTTCCTTTGTTGTTTTTTTTTTTTTTTTTTCTGATGCTTAACGTACACGCCCGTGTAGGTTTACAACAGCCTGCAGGACCCGCCCGCCTCGCCCCTGCTCCTCAAGGACGTGGACCAGCAGTCGTACTCCTACCTGTCGACGGACCCGAGTTTCACGCGCACCTCCGAGGACATATTCAACAGGTGGGGCCGCGCACTGTGATTTACTCCAGTACGATCATGCTATCCTTGTTTCCCCCTAAAAACCCTCGAGTTCTTATACGTGGCTGCTACGTTGGTATACACTGAAAGAAAAAAATAAAATAATAATAATAAAAATATTAGAGAAATAATACGCAATCTGCACGATAAATTCGATACAAGTTGTACAAGTTGGTAATAAAGGAATAAATTGATCCTTTTGAGGTTTACTGTTCCACCATGGTAATTTTTACTGTTACAACCATAATTTTAACTGATTAAACAATAACCTTTACCGTTAAAACAATAATAATTTTTTCCTTTATCGCAAGATTTACTGGATTTTCTCGACAGTTATTATTATTTTCTGTTTTTTTTGCTCAGTGTAAAGAGGATATAGTCCTCTAGGACGAAGCGTTCATAGCTCATCCTTTTTTTTGTAACGCTCAACCAAGAGTATACCTTGTGCTAATGTTGTATTTTTGAATCAAAGAAAATTTCTTTACCCTCGTTCCGTTAAATATTTTCTTTTAATTGAAAATATATACAAGTCTAAAAAAAAAAAATATTTCATCAAATGAAAATTTTTCTTCTTAATCACGAATTTCTCATTCAATTGTATGAAATGTTTTTTTGGATCGACTAAATGTTTTTTTAATCAAAAGAAAGAATATTCAACGGAATGAAGGTAAGAAAATTTTCATTGATCCAAAGAACTGGGTAGCTCAGTGGGGTGTACGAGAGTACTTAATTTTAGTTGATTGTAAAATGGAAAAAAAAAAGGAAAGAAAGATATTAACGACGTGTTGAACAGTTTGGAGCACAGGCGCAACAAGAGCGTCCAGGAGCGATTGAACGGGTTCCAGGAGCTGCTCGAGCTGCAGGAGAGCCCCGAGTCGGCTCGCCAGCGCAACAGCCTCGAGCTGCTGAGCGCCTTGGAGGAGATGCAGCTGCGGCGCAGGCTGTCGCAGTTGTTCGACGAGTGCCGGGAGGAGTTGCAGCACGACGAGCACCTATTATCCTCCGTGTCGTGCAACGGGGCACTGTCGAGGCGGGGCTCCCTGGGCCCGGAGCCCGAGCCCCCACCCCCTGCCCATCATGCCCTCAGTTTGTTCGATGACTTTGCCTCGTTGCAGAGGGCCATCAGCTGCGAGAGCGTCAACTCGGACACCAGCGTCGTCCTCAATGACTTGGAGGCCGGCACCGAGGAGGCGCCCGTCGTCGGCCTCATCTGCGTGGCCCTCGAGCTCGACAGGTGGGAAGCAACTTTTTCACTTTTTCTTTTTTCCTACTTCCATCAGGGCTGACTCTTACTTATCAACAACAACCTCTTTTTTCAACTCATATCGCTTGTGCGGGGGTTTCATTCGTATAGCCAATCATTTAAAATCAATAGTAGGTCTTACATTTTATTGCGATGTGGTATTCTTCGATACGTTCATGGATTTTTTTTTTCAACAGAATATTTATTTTCAATATTTCGATGTGTACACCCACAACTTTTTTTTTCTTTCCCGTGTAAGGATTAACGCGACGAGAAAAAAAAAAAAAACTTTATTACGATTAAAAATCTCGACAATCAGATTGTTACTCTACACTGCCTGGATTACTGAGCTACGCAATAAATTGTACGTGGATGGTGTACGTGTCCTCTGCCCACGTCAGACCCTTCGACGTAGGTGATTTCTCACGTGGGAGTAATCATTATACGTTTTTATGATATTTTATTTTTAGAAAATCCATCAAACACTTTTCTCATCAAGATTTTTGGTTTATCTTGCATAATAAATGTCGAGTATTGTTTTACCAAAAATGAGTATAATAAAAAGTTTCTTCCAATCTATTCCCCACAACGCCGTAGATTTAGCATAATCATAACAATAATCCATTGACCCAATGGCCCTAGCCCCACAAATTCTCCGAAAAGCTTTCGAGAAAGCTCTACTCCTCCCGTGGGTGCGATCTGTTTCACCACCCCTCCGCATTCGATCTTTTATACATCGAACCTCTAACTTTTACGTTTGGCAAAAAAGCTGTCCTCCAGCTCTGATTCAATGCTGTTTTCATTTCTGTTTTCCACATCAATATTCCTCATTTTATTGGCAGGCCTTGATTATTTAACTTGAGTAAAGTATAAAATACTCACACGAATTTTTGTAGCCCCAAACACTTTCAAGTTAATTTTCGCGAGCAAAAAAAAAAAAAAAATTATATCAACCAAAGCATCCTATATTAAAAGTAGAAGATTGCTCTTGTTAGAAATATCTCTAGGGAATCATTTACCGTGATTTCAAATTTTTTGTAAAACCAACTCAACACCCAAAAAACCCTTCGAATGACGATATAAAAAGTGTAAAAAAAAAAAAAACCTTTGTCCCGTTCACTCGGAAGTTTCTCCAAGTGGTCGAGCCACCTGGGCGAGACGGATCTCATAGTGAGCGTGCTCGAGGCGAGGGACCTGATAGTCTCCGACGGTCGGCCGGCCCAGAACACCTTCGCGAGGGTCTGCCTGCTTCCCGACCGGCAGACCCACGCCAAAACGCGGCTGTACAAGGGCACCAACTCGCCCAGTTACCAGGAGAAATTTTATTTTCCCCTGGACGGGGGCACCGTGGGCCGGACCCTCCTGGTCGAGGTGAGCCCAACCCACCCCTGCCGTATACACTTTGCTTCTATACAATTAACACATTTATTTTTCCCCCTCGAGGTGTTCTCCTACGCGATGCCGGACGGGGAGAGCTGCATAAGCAGCGGCGGCGAGTCGAGTTTGCTGGGCGAGGCCAGTCTGAGACTCGGGCCGGCTCTACGACCCGCGACCACGTGGCTGCCTCTCGTTAGTCCACTGCAGCCGGCGCCCCTGCTGGGCGAGCTGCTCTTCTCGCTGAGCTACCTGCCCACGGCCGAGAGACTGACTCTCGTCATCGTCAAGGCTAGGAACCTCAAGGGCGCCAACGAGACGCCCGGGGACTTTTTCGTCAAGGTATGTCGTCGATTTTTTTTTTTTTTTTTTTTTTTTCAATTAACAATAATCGTCCATTACCATTTCAAAGAAATAAAAAATGGTCAGAGTATTTTTTGAAAAAGTACACTCAACTATCCTTGTTTTTGACCTTTTTTTACGAATATTTTGGTTGTTATCGGATTCGGGCATACGGATACTTTTTTCATTTCTTTGTAATGAAAAAAATTATTGAATCAACAAAATTTGTTCCAAAAGAAAAAAATTGTCCTTGTTTTTGACGATTGTTTTCGTTGCGAAAGGTCTACCTGCTGCAGCAGGGGAAGAAGCTAAACAAAAAGCGGACGACGATCAAGCGGGGCGAGAAGAGCCCGATCTTCAATGAGGCGATCATCTTCAGCGTACCGTCGCACGCGCTGCAGGTAAACTTGCCCAACACAAGTAATAATAATTGGTGCACAGCACCCGTGACTTTTATTTTTATTGTGCAATAAATCGTAGAACGTCCAGCTGAGGTTGACGGTGGCGGAGGTGAGCGGCGACCTCAGCGCGAGCACCAAGGCCTACTCGGTGGGCCACGTGATCGTCGGGGCCACGACGAACGGCCGATCGCTCGCTCACTGGCGGCAGATGCTCACTATGCTGCGCCGGCCCGTGCCAATGTGGCATCCGCTCCGCAAGTGAGCCGAGACGATACAGCGCAAAAAATAATAAAAATACCTACTTCTAGTCCACTCGAATCACCCAGTCATTTTTCCTCGCGATATTTGCTCTTTGAATTTTCAACTCTTTTTTTTTTTTTCCCCCCATTGGAAAAAATTGTCAGCAGAGGAGGTTTTTTCTTCTTCTTCTTCTTCTTCTTTACTGACAGTTTTGTGATTCGCCTGGACTAGTCGAGCGCGTTCATTTGTTGTTTCTGCCGAGATAAGAAAAAAAAAAAAAAAGAAAAAATAAAAGATGCCCACGCGATCCACGTTGTTGATGTTGTTGTTGATATTGACTTCACTCGAGCTGGGCCTACTATGTTATACATATTGTCTCGAGATGCTGAGGTGAGAATTTTGGAAATTAATGATCGCATGGAATTTTTGGACGCGTGAAAATGGTCCCGAGTAGCAAATGGGTTGGGTGACTGGTTGGTTATTTTTTATGGCGTGAAATGCAAACAAAGTAGAGGCCGAAAATTTCGGAAAATAGCTCCCTTTTCCGCGGAAAATTTTTTGAAATGCATTCGTGCCACTAAAGCACTTTGAGCTTAAAATGAAAGAAAAAATGGCAAAGTTCTTTGCATTTATTTGCACAAACAAAACAACTCTCCAGACAAAATACACTTGGATAGATTTTTAAAATTTTTTTCTCACATTTTATACTCTCTCTCTCTCTCTCTCGTCACGCATCCATACCTATAACGTTAAAACGCGACACTAACTTGCCAAGTAATAAAGTTTCACGCTAACGAGTTTACGAAAAGCTTCTATACATATATCATATTGTATAAATGAAAAAAATAAAATAAAAATATTTTTCCTCCATCGTAGAGATATAAAAATAGGCATGTATTTTAACAAACAAACGCAAAAACAAGAGGCTATAATATACCGAAGTAATCGCAATTTTGATACTTGGTTGCGAAGAATGACAATATTGAGATGCTAGTTATTATTGTTTTTATTGCAATCGTTCACTACTACGCAGGCTGCTATAAGATATTACTTCCGATCACTACATGATTGTTACTATTGTTGCACCAAGTATAGCTTATCACGCGTGGGAGCAAACAATTGATGAAATCGTTAGGGTATATATGAAGGAAAGATACAGAGAGGGGAAATCGTGTTGGATGTGTACATACGTAACTTTAAAATGTATAAANTTAAATAGCCCCGATTGCTCCCGAGCGTATCAGTCATATCAGTGTAACCGCGGGCGCGACGGCTCTCGCGAGCAGGTCTCGTTGGCCCCTACAAGTATTATACCTATACTTGATTGTATCCTATCTCGATACGCGATATACTAAAAAAAAAAAAAAAAAAAAAAAAAAATTAAAGAAAGCATCAGACGGCCAAGGGACTTTGGGTATGCGTTTATGGGGGGATTTAGAAAAAAAAAAAAAAAAAAAAATCGTTTGGGCCAGTCAGTGGGACCGGTTTAAGCGTATGTATTTGGTATATCCACGGATATAAAGTTTTGGCCGCCAGCCTTTTTCGCCCCAAACGAGGCACGTGAAGATGCGTCGGACGGGTTTTTTCATTCAGGGAATTGGGCCGATGTTGTCCAAACTGCCTACAAGCAAGTTCAGGGAGCCTTTCGGGATATATTGTACACGTGTACGCGCATAACATACAAGTACAATATATCGGAAAACAAAAGAAAAAATGATAAAGTATTACAAAGAAAATAAATTGCATGCTTTCTTTTGAGGGCAAACTTGTTATCGAACAGATTTATATTTTCGATTGTATTTTAAGTACAGAGTTGAAAAACAGGAGAAAAAAAAATAAAATAAAATAACGTCGTAGAGGTTTCTTGTTAAATGCAGGTACATATGAATAAACTAAGGAAGCAAAATTAACGAGTAACATAAATGGTAGTTGATAAACGCATTAGCTTTTTGAGATTCCGCGAGAACGGCAATGTCAATGGTGATGATTTGCGGAAGAAACTTTTTCTTTTTTGCAAGAGACAATTCGAGGAATCGGGCGGTTAATTTTCATTTGCTTTGTCGTAAGTGTTGTTAGATAGCGTTGAAATAAAAAGACCTAATTCATGACTAGTAAAAAATCATCTTCATAACAAATTAAACGATATTCGAGGTTTTCGTATGTCGAATAAGGTATTTACTTTTAATTACTTGTATATGAAAAAAAAAAAAAAAAAAGTGAATTTTCAAGACTTATTATGATAATGATAAAATTTTTTGAACCATACGATTAAGCTGAAACTGTTGAAAATATAAAATAATGCACGTCATTAAAAGTGTCTACTGCGTAAAGCATGAGTTTTCGTCTCGTTAATTTTTATCGATTCGTTACGTTTACGTGAGAGTCCGCGAATTTGATGGATTTCAAAAAAGTTTTTTCAACACGCAGATTGATTTGAAAAAAAAAAAAGAAAAAAAAGAAAAAAAAATATTCTCCGTTAATTTTGATAAAACACATAGACACGAGAATTTTCATACATTGAATCGTCAAAACAAGCGATCGAGGAATATGCTTATTACGAATCCTGTTCCTGTTCCCTTCGTATGGCCTTGAAAAAAACTTACTATACATATATAACTTTTATACCTTTCGCACTTGAACTATATATTAACGATACTCAACAACTCATACTAAATATTTACAAATACACACGGAAAAATTCACACGTTTACTCGCGCACATTTATTCCAGGATACTTGAAGGGGAGGTACGCGATGATGATGTAATGTGCGTAGTGTCGAATCAAAAATAAAACATGTTACAAAAAACTATGACAAAAAGGTCAACAGAAAATTTTTCAAATAACAACAGTCGTGACCATCAAAACCTACACTCTTACAGTAAAAAAAAATTTAATCATGAGAACATTTTTTGATTCAAGCATCGCATCTCGTCGTCCCTTACCTATACCGTTGAAAAACACTCTTTTCCCCCGTTTAAAAAAAACTAAGAGATAAGAGCACTAATGCGTTATTGCGTTATGATGTAAAAATAATGCAAAAACAAAGTATAGCAAAAAATCATTGGTAAACTACAGGTACCTGCGTATTTTTACCACAAGCGCGGCGTTAGGAAAAAAAAAAAATTATTTGTGCCCAGAGGAAATGAGCCAAAAATTGTATCCAGTTGTTCGATCAAAACAAAGATAAAAAAAATCTTTAACACCGCGTACGAACATAGGCTGCAGCTTTTAATTATAATTTATCACGCTTACTGTTTAAATTCGGTAGAAATTCTTTTTTTTTTTTTTTTTTTTTTCATTGTTATGATAAAAAATAAAAAAAAGGAGAGATGCGAAAAGTGCGATATCCTGTATCAGACGAGAAAATGGTATATTATAAACATGATGAGAACACGACAATAATAGTGCCGACCGTTTTTAGTTGAATTAGCCAATATCGCAAACGCTGAATAATGAAAAACTATAACCAATTTTATTGACTCTTCGAATACATAATATTATAGCACAAGATACATACACATATATATTGAAACAAAAACAAAAAAAAGAAAATTAAATGATATATTGTATAAAAGAAAATAGTATTATACGTATTGTAAAAAATGATGAAGAAAATCACACGCAACAAAGTGTACTTTTGCGCCTATAATTTGTGGCTGTACATTATATTATATTGAAGGCGTTTTTGTTACCGTAGCGCTTTGTCCCGCGTATAATTCATTAGCTGAGAATTGAAACTTGCATTTGTCCCAAGTGTGGCGTGAAAAAAAGAAAAAAAAGAAAAAAAAAAATAAGCAAACGACACGCACGTATTTGTAAAAGAGGAGAAAGACACTGAGAAAATTGACAAAAAAGTTATTCGATATTTTTGTTACGCCTGTCTGTGATACTACTGAGGGCACAGTACATTATCCTGTGTAATACTTAAGATTTTATCCTCCTCCCATGTGAACCCCTACACGATAACGTTGTACACGATACTTATACAATGTATAAAATAACAAATACAACAAAAAAGAGAAAAAAAATTACCAATTGTATGTTGTATATTAATAATGTGTAAGAGGATAACATTTTTTCATTGAAACATACAAGGAACACTCACACACGACACAAACTCGAATACCCCCTCGATCCGAACGTGCTCTTCCTTGTCATTAAGATATACCTATACGATACGTGTATGTATAATAAGTACCGCGTATAGTTATTATAATATATAATATATATATCAGAGTTTAAGTTGCGTTGCGTAAGTTTTTTTGTCATCGACATCGCGACGAGCAAAAAAAAAAAAAAAAAAAAAAAAAATGAAACGAAATAAAAAATAATTTAGAAAATCCCAACTGGAGTATTTCTAAAAATCACTACAACATACTATTAGGCTCTGGAGAATTTTCAAACCTGTAAGACTGCGTTATAATAACCCAACGAGCGATTCACCGTAAGACGAGCTGGAGATTAAATTTTTATTTCACGCTGCATTGTACGATGAGCGATGGCCTTTTTTTTCAGGCAACCTCGCCGTCGTGGAAATTTTTTTCATTGTATAAATGCACCACTGGAACTAATTTACGTATATGTGCATTATTAAATGATATTATTATAAAACGTCGTTGTTAAATTCATCGTTACACGATTATATTTACAAAACAAGAAAAAAAAAACAACTCGTTTAATGACATGAGGAATATACATACATGCATACATGCGTGTGTACATGAAAATATATATATTTAATTTACAAAAAAAAAAAAAAAAAAATCCAAAAGTATGGCATTTTTCGTTGTTATTAAACACCGATAATTTACATCCCAGATAATTTATTTAAATACAAAATCACATGATATAATATCTACGTCAAGTTCGATAAATAATACTAACGATACATGTTAACCAAAATCTGGGAAACACAATAAACATAACAAGTGTTTTTTTGAGTTAACGATCAATTTAATTTTAATTACAATCATCTATTCTTGTTTTCTTTCTATTTTCATTCATCATCACCGTGTCACGCTTCGGCGATCAATCACTACATTAGTCAACGTAATAAAATATATTTATATATTATGTATTACATATAATTAATAATAATAGTTATACTCTTGTCGGTCGCTGCGGGGAAAAAAAAAAACAATTACTCTGCAGGAGCCTGTACGAGAATGATGGTCGACAAAGCTCAAACGACGCGTCGTCGATAAAATGTTTCTTTTCGTCCGTGGGAAAAAAAAAAAAATACTTTCATGAGTTTTTAAGGCACATTCGGAGAACGCCGCGGAATGTATGCTACATGATGTATGGACGGATGCACCGTTGTCTCCGGTGATATATAATATAATATGTTTATGTACAAGCTCGGAGACGCGAGAGGCAATGTCCTACTGCCGACCGGGGGATGACAACCGGCGCGAGGGCTGGTAAGGATTCTGCAGCAGCTTGGGCGAGCTCTCGATTACCCTCAGGAGGAGGCTGTCTATGTACTCCTCCATGTCGTGCAGCCGCTTCTTCTTATCCGCAACGTCGAGCTGCAGCTGCATCACCAACTCTATGAGATCCTGAAACCGTGACGCGCCGGTGAGAGAAAGCCCGAGGAGGAAGGACCGAAGCGGAAAACAACGATCCGGCCACTTTCACCGTATAAGCTACTCACCTCGCGCGACTTGCCCTGGAACTGCTCGGCGATCTCCCGCGGTAGCCTACCACCACCGCTCCTCCCTCCACCGCCATCGACAACCCTCGCCGACTCCTCACCCCCGATGATTATCCTCTCCGCGGAGGACTTTTGCTTGGCCTTGTGCTCGACCACCTTGTACTTGTCCTTGTCCTTGTCCTTGCGGAACAGGTGTCCCTTGCGCCCCGGGCCCGGCGACTCGCTGATCTCACCCTTCAGCCTCGATACCGGCGAACCACCGCGCTCCGACCCGACCTCCACCGGTGCCGCTGTAGTTGTCGTCTCCTCCCTCGGGGGCTCCTCCACCACGATTTTCGGGCTCCCCCGTTTGTTGTCCCACCTCTTGAGCATACCACCCGACAGCTTTTGGCCCCACTCGTCCTCCACGGCTTTCTGTGGGATGACCTGCTGCTTGCTCTCCTGCTTGCTCGACAGATTCAGCGAGCTGACGCTCAGACCGAACCGCGGTGGTTTCGAGGGAGGCGTGCTACCGGTGTTTTGCGTCGTTGTCGTCCCACTGTTGGCAGTGGTGGTGTTCTCCCGTGGATTGGAGTTGTTGGTCTGGTTGTCGCTCGTTTTCCAGTTGCTGTTGGCCGTGGCTGCCGACCGGGACGAGTTGAGGGACGAGGTCGAGCTCTTGTGCGAGAGATCGTCAAACTGCAAGCGATGGGAAAAAAGAAAAATAAAATGAAGTGCACAAGTCTATATAGGGAGTGGTGGTGGGGATGGGGGTTATAAGTTACCGTAAACTCGTCCTCGTCGCTAATGACCCCGGGGTCGGCGTCCCCGTGCTCCTGGCCGGCCGTCCTGGGCCTGATGTCGCCTACCCTGAACTCCTCCTCGTCGTAGATGTCGTCGAGCTTGCCCTTGCTGCGGCTCTTGCCCCTGACCCGGCTGCCGATCGACTTGGCGAGTTTCTTCAGTCCCTTGCGCTTTTCCCCGCTGCCGACGCTCAACAGGCTACCCCCGAGCATCGACTGGGCCGCCGTTGACAGCTGGCCCAACGAGCTCTTGTGCTTCTCCTTTTTCGTGAGATCGGTAAGGCTGCCGGCTCGCACGACGAAACCGATTCGCACCTCCAGCTGGCCCCGCTCCTTTGTGTTCTCCTTGCCGGGCTTGCTCGTCAGCTCGTACCTATTAATTATTATACATGTGTGTGAATGACAATACGGAGTTGGAGGTGCATTTTGGGTATATAGGCGTATAACTCACCATCGGTTCTTGGGCATCTCGTAGATGTCGAAGCTGGACAGGGGTATGCGCACGGTGCCGAGGAACTCGTCGACCCCGAGGAAGTTGCGGTGGAGGGCCGTGAGCACGATCTCGGCGGTGTTGCCCTGCTCGGGTATCGGGAGCTCGCACTCCTCGTGCCACTCGACATTCTCCTCGGCCTTCTCCTTTACCGAGGTCTGGTACTTGGCCTTTCCCAGGGCGATCGTCACGAAACAGTCGTTTGTGTCTACGTGTATTCAAGATTTTTTTTTTCTTTTTTCAATTTTTTTCAATTTTTTTGGTTTTTGTCAGTCGCTCGATTTAATTAAGCAAAGTGCCAAAAGTAAGCTCAATTCGTTTGTGTCTACGTGTATTGTAGGCGATTGGTCACTTAATTAATTAAACAAAGTGTCATAAGTAGACTGAATTTATTTGTTTCTTTGTGTATTGAAGGTTTTTTTTTTTTAAATTTTTAATTATATTTTGTTGTTAGTCACTCGATTAATGAAACAAAGTGTCAAAAGTAAGTTAAATTCGCGCGTATAGGTATAGTCCGAATTATTTATATTAAGAATTTAAAATGGAATTTTCTCGCTCGTGTTTGACGTGCGGTGGGAGGCAAGGGGGTCGTTAATCTAATGAAGCGACGATTTAGGCGTACAATTGCCTCGATATTTCACGCTCGAAGGTGCATTGTATATCACGGCCTAATTAGATGCCGGAGTTGTTGTTTTGTTCCATCAACTCGTTACGGAGAAAAAGTAGTTTCGGGATAACTCATAGCGTATAACAATATTGTACTCGTTAACGAGCGGCTTGGAAAAACAACGGTACACCGAAACACAAACTCGAATACATTTCATTTCGTAGATGATACAAGTATAATATGGCTCGGCTCAACGTGGAAAAGTTCACAGCTGCAGGGTAGAGTCAACAACACGGTTGTCTGCAGGTGTCTGCGTCCCCGATGACAAATATTTATCGCTTGGTATAAAAACGCACCGCCGAGCGTCTATACGCCTACACACATCAAGTCGTTTGTACCATCGCACGATTAGCGAAAGCTGCAGCCACACTCGTGCGCGTAAATGCTCTCGGTTTCCCCGCGCCAGGAGCATCTTAATCAACCTTCCGGCGTTTTCCAATAAAACCCATCATCTCGGCGTTACACTCGGCGAGGTTTTTACTTTCCAGCCCACTCCGAGTATCAGGCCAACCGCGCGATTATTCGCACGCGCGCGCAATTTCGGTCCATGGAAACATTTTCTTTTTTTCACCTGGCAAGCGTGACTCGATTCTTTCATATAGCGCGATAAGGTGCACGAGTATATTATTATTATTATTAAATACGTTTTTTGTGCGTCCCCGTATCACCTCGGCCGCGTGTGTCATACGCGCCTGTGTACCGATAACGCGTGCCTTCGTGATTACCCACACGCTCGAATTGTCCGTTACAACGTCTCTACCCACCCAAGAGTTATCACTGCGATTAGAGTAAAATTGAAAAACATAACTACTTTCTTTTTTTTATTATGAAGTACAAATGTACGAGTGTTGGCGATACCTTATTTTAACTTGAGCGCATCTTAATGACAAAATGAAGCACGTATAAAGTACAATATACTTACTCTTTTTTCCCTTGGTAATGAGACCTTTGGCGCGTTGAACTGCACATATACGCAGAATAAAGACAATGAGACGTTTCACTCATATATAATAATACAAAGAGAGAGAGAGAGAGACTGACTCTGCGCGTGTATGTATGTAAATAAATATATGTATGTATGTACCTATGCAAGAGAGGCCTCTGGCTCCCCGAGAGTGAGATCACTGCGGATTACGGTACCTTATGCCTCTTTCTTTCACTGCTCTCTCTCTCTCTCTCGCTCGGCGAGTGAAAGACAGTTAACTCTCTCTATATATGCACGTAAAGATCTTTGACAGGAATATTATTATTTTCGTTGAAAAGTACCCGTGCTATTTATAGGCTTGCTTATGTACGCGTTACTCCAAACGTAACAGAAATTTTCATCAGCGACGCGACGATTTGTCAATGGATAACGAAATTAAAGGTCAGCTGATCAAACGATCATCACAATGCACGATGGACAGTTACTACATACGGAATGTCAATTGTCAACGCGGAAGAGAGAGAGAGAGAGTGCGCTTACCAACATACACATGTATAAATACATTTATATACGTATACACATTGCGGAGTCCGTCTCTCGAGTGTATATATACATGTCACGCCAACTCACCGACCACCTGGACGTGCGTTGGACTCCACATGCTGGCCGATGGCTTCGACACTACGTACTATACCACTCCTCCTCCGCCCCCGTTGTGGCACACGCGACTCACCACCCCCCGTAGCGGCTGCACGTATCACCGAAAATGTTGGATTTTAACCCCATTCGAATGAGGAAGAACAAAAGAAAAGAAAAGAAAAAAATCAAATACGCGAACACAACCACCGAATCGCGCCTCCCCAGGGTGTATATTCCAATGAAAGTGTAAAATTCGTACAAGTATAAGGGTATATATAGTTACCCCCTGTATTTATTTATTGGTGCGCGATATGGAATTGTAACTCGTGCAACGAGCACTCCGATGTTTCGTCGGAGCAAAATAAGTGTGCTGACGGCTGCTGCACGAGCTCTACACTGGTAAGTATAATTAAACAGCCAAACGAGCGAGAGAGAGAGAGAGACCGCGGCGGCGCGCACCTTCGGACGCGCATCTCTCGGGGGAGCTATTATATAGGTGTCCGTTCACCAGGTACGTAGGTGAGGCTCGCTGGTACCCGAGCCTTTTACCTCCTCGTGACGATTCGAGGACCGTTTCAGGGCAAAGCGCGGATCGGTTTTTCGCAATCGGCGAAAGCTACAATGATGATCCGCGTAGGCACGACTCTTTTAATGTGACGCTTCATTAAAAAAAAACTCCGCACAGTGTATAAACGGATGTCGCCGTACTTTTGTGCCGATTCATCATCGCCGAGTGTTTTTTTTGTTTGCGACAGGTGTAATGTGTGCGCATTATATATCGGCGCGCGTAAAGTGTCAATATTTTAATTGACAGAGTGTTCCGCACGGCGGGGGACGATTTTGTTAAAAACCCGAAGCGTCAACCTTGGGAATCATCGTTACATGCCCCGTTTGTTGTTGCGAAAAAAACAAAAAAAAAAAAAAAAAGAAATTTGTACCCATATGTACATGCGTAATTTTTTAAAAATAGAACGACTGTTCTGTACAACTTTTTTCCGCCTGAGTTATTGGTATATTTGTATTAGTACGTCCAGATAACGTAACATAAATAATACCTGATTGACACTACGTGTTGTATCTCTGCAAGCCCGCGTGTGATTATTGCGACATGATCGAGTGTCCATTTGAATTTCAAATGACGTTGCGTGATACGCGATTTATAACAACATTTTTTTTCTCTTTAATACAAGTATCGCGAATTCCTTGATATTTTGATGTACTTAACAATTATACATATATTACCTATACGCTCGAGACAAACCGTCATCATGTTATATTATCTCCAATCGATTTCTCGAAAAACAATTTCCAAATCAACGCGTTGATTCTCGGAAAAGAGCCGCCCATCCGTCATTTCTAAATCCATAATGTGCGCGTAGGTGAACCACACAGGTATATTTAGCGGCGATTACAATTCAATCTCGAGAGTATAGGTATACTCATATGTATAAAACGCAATTTTTATCATCATCATTTTTTTATTCAATCGCTTCAATCATCGTCGCCGTCACTAAACACAGCTCCCAGCAACCTATACCGTAATTGTACATGCAGCGACTACCGATTTTTTGAAACTTTTAAAACAAATCCTGCTCGCAACTAATGGTATCGCGCGTTATCAAATCGTATCGCTAAGTGGACGATGAGTTTGGCGCCAGTATAGGTATATGTATACATGGGTCTTGGAAACCTATTGAGGGAACGACCGGGTTTTTCTCTTTCTTACCATAGGTACTTATACGTATTTATCTCCTCCTTTTGGCTTGTAAGTGGGTATACCTCTCTTTTGCTCGCTTCTTTGCATTCACGACACGGTGCGTATATACATACATACGGTACAGATGATACACAGCGTTATATGCGATGATGCACGCAAGTCGGTGCAACGCGAGAGAAGCTTGCCTTCGTCGTCGTCGGTGTTTTATCCACACGCGTTATTGTGAAAGTGTGTCGGGGCCTCTCTTTTTATACATACACCGGAGTGATGACTAAGGAATGACGTGTCTCTCTCTCTCTCTCTCTCGGGTACACTGTACAGAATTATATTATATGTAGGTAAGGCTCTCTCTCTCTCTCTCTCTCTGTGTGAGAAGCAGTCGCAGGAGAGGCACGTGATCGCCCCTGGAATTCCAAGGAAAAGCCAGCAGCGACGCCCGCGGAGATCGACAGAAGAAATCGGTTGCCGATCATCTCTTATACATTCATGGAAATATTACATTATCGGCGAGTCGGATTTTGATAAGCCAATCGAGCGTATACAATACAGAACACACCCCGAGAGCGCAAGTGACGGACAGTATACGCATATCAGAAAAAGAGATGAGATACATCGTATAGCCACGGTATATACAACATATATACACGAAAAAGAGTAGGGAGAGCAGGTATGGAAGATCGGCAGGTATATATATTATGGGAGCGCAGGTGCAGGGGGAGAAAAAGGAGAGAGAGAGAGAGAGTCGCACGTGTGCACGGTAAGCCACAGGTATAAGATTATATATATTGTACGGTCTCTCCAGCGGCGGCGGCAGCGAGTTATAAGTATCAGTAGTGGACTGGCACAGGTAGCTCCACGTACATACGGTGCTGCGCGCGAGACAACTCACCTGATTTTTTTTTAATTTTTTTTTTTCCCTCCCGATCGGACGCTCGCCGTGTATGTGGGTCGGGAAAAATCGAAAGTCGCTCGGGAGAAAAGGAAAGATCGGCCTTAGTCCAACCGAAGAGGGCAAGATAAGAGGCGAGCGGGAAAAATAAAAGCAAGTGCCGTTTAGATAGTAAGGAGAGAAGCGGACGGGAGAGGATGGAGTCGGTAAGCCCGCGCGCGAGGCTCTGCCACATAACAAAGTGGGAGCACTTTGACGGCTACGGTTTCAATTTGCACGCGGAAAAGGGCAAGATCGGCCAGTTTATCGGCAAAGTCGACGAGGGCTCGCCGAGCGAGGCGGCCGGCCTACGCCAGGGCGACCGCATAATCGAGGTCAACGAGATCAACATAGCCAACGAGACGCACAAGCAGGTCGTCGAGCGCATCAAGGCCTTCCCCACGGAGACTAAGCTCCTGGTGGTCGACCGGGCCGCGGACGACTACTTCAAGGCCAACAACGTACCGATCAAGGGCACCATGCCCGGGATCAAGTACCTCAAGACCCCGGAATCGAGTTTCACCCAGGATGACGAGGACGAGATCGACAACGACAGTAGAAACGGCAGCCACGCAGCTGCTGGAAACGCCAACAAGACCACCAGCAACGGCAGCCAGGTACATACATACGTATACATCTCTCTCTCTCTCTCTCTCTCGCGGCCTTGACGCCTCCCACCCCCCACGGTCGGCCATTGGGCTCCATATGCTGATGCAGGCTGGATATATCATCCCTAACATATATACCTCAGCCGGATCGTCTTCATCATCATCGCGTACGATTATTGTTCTCGCCTCATTTTCGTAGAGCATCCAAAGGCTCCCCTTTTTTTTTTTTTTTTTTTTTTTTTATATGGATTTTCCCTTTCGGGCTGGTGTTTTCTCGTTGCTACCGCCGCCTCTTTATCTTATCGTCTCTCCGCGCAAACTTTGATACACCCGCTCTCATGTGACCCGTTGTCTCTGGACTCTTTTCGTTCCCCCTCGTTCCTCGTTGGCCAAGCATACATATATAGCTGTTTACTCCGGCTCCTCCTCGGCTGATTGCATACATGTATTGTGTACGCGGGAGATGGAGCGCGAGAAAGCCAATTCAAGTGTTGAGTATCGAGCCGAGATTTGGTGGCGGCTGTACTCGTACACTCGGTCGATAAGGCCGTGATTTTTTAATCTCCCCTCTCTAGTCTTCGAACAACAGGTATTATCCGATGCGTATACCGGGGGGGGGGGGGAGGAAGAGAGTCTTCTTCTTGGGGTTGTTGCGACGATTTCTCGGGGAAATTCCAGCCGATCATGCGGGAATCAACGGGTGTAATCAACCGGGGCTCCGACGCGTAGCGAAATACCTTTCCTTCTTTTCCGTCTTTCGCAAACGGAATTTCATCGAGTCGCGGCTACGTATACGACCAATCGCAATCGTATACGCACGCGAAATCGGCAACGCGGAAACCCAAGCTCGATCCTTTTATGTTTCTTTTTTTTTTTTCCATGCCCGCACTGGTTGCGTAATTTTTTTTTTCATTCATCGGTTCTCCGTGTGCGCGCGAACACACGCTTGTCGGATCATTACCTATACCGATCTTGTGTAACGAGAGCACAAACAACACGGGTACATGTACATACATCCCACGGAGCCCGAGTTTCCGCGACGACGGAAATACCCCTGCTGTATACTCATGCGTGTAATGGTAATGTACGAGGGAACGGAGTAGCTGGTACGAAAAATATCACATGTGTATACGTTAACGATACGCGTCCGGTCACGAGGCTCTTGCGTTGCGGTGTACGCATCGACAGCTAACGAGTCGCGTGCACAACTCCCATATGCATCTCGTAGGTATACACCTGTGTTGTACGGATCAATGGGGACGACGTAGCTCGGGTCACGGTGCACACGCGTTACCGATTCCGATAAGGCCTTATCGGGTATACACATCTCGATACGCAGCTGCAACCCGTACAGCGAGCTGCATGTGAATTTTTCTTCTTTTCCCGTGCCACNGTAAGGCGGAAGGGCATCAAACTGAAAACTACACTAACAAAAAAAAAAAAAAAAAAAAAAAAACAAATGTACAAACGCGAATGCTAAACTGTAGCGGCATCGCAATCGAGCTCGCGTAACCTTGCGACAGCTACGTTGTATTGTTTTTTTTTGTTTTTTTTTTTTTCAACTTATTTTAAAGAGCCAAACAGAATGTCGAACGTGCCGTTGCGCAATTCGGCGTTACATAATTTTTTTTTTCCCCCCCCCGGCTCGCGGAGCCCGCGCAACGTGCAAAACAATCGGAGGAAAAAAAGAAGGGCGAATAATAACGATTTGGGTTTCAGGGGACGACGAGCGACACGCACTCGATCGGCTCGTCGGTGGACGGTGGCAAGGAGAACGGGAGCGCGAACAACGGCACTTTGGCCAGCAACGGGAGCAACTCGATGACGACCCAACTCGAGGACGAGGACAACCTGAGCAACAAATCCTCGGCGAGTGGGGGCAGCAAGGACGTGATACAGCCGGCGGGTAGCGGGGACGGGCCCCTCAACCTGCAGATGAGCGCCAAGGAGCTCAGGGCCAAACTCGCGGCGCGCAAAAAGTACGACCCCAAGAAAACGCCCATGGGCTTCAAGGACAAGTTCGACATCGTACAGAAGCTTTAGGCTGCGCCTGATAGGTTGCCGTCGTGTCGTATAACCCTTTCTTGCTCTCCGTCCAAAGACAATTATCATGTCATCGGCGCTTTGCGAGCCGTTGGGCGATAACGATTTTTTCCAACGACAAATCACACGCACGAGATAGGCACGATACAGGTAATGGAAAAAAAAAAAAAAAAAAAAAGGTATTTAGTAGCCCGATAAGCGACGGGGCGAGATAAGAGGTGCCATGGGCGCACGAGCACGCGCGCGCAGACGCGCTCAATTAGCGGAGTACCTATACACATAATATGTACGCGTGCGTATGCTGTAACGTTACGCAAACGCCCGTCGTCTCGTATAGATACATCATATACACCCAATGTGGACACGCGAAGGCAACGTACGCACTATGCGTCTCTTCTGATATATATATATATGACGTGACTGAGAAGTTTCGAGGTTTGTATTCCCCTACTCCACCGCGGTACAGATAGCGATCGTGCGAGATTGTAAAAAAAAAAAAAAAAAAAAGCTATCTTTTCTTGCACGAACGCGTTGTGGGTTGTCTTTGTAAATAATAAGTAAATGCGCGAGGGGAGGAACGAAAAGTCGCCGCCGCGCTTCCTTCGCGTGACAAGAGATTGTGCACGCGGCGCGAAATTTTTACGATCGTCGCCCCAAGTATATAATATACATGTTTCGCCTTTCTTCATCGAGGCTCAGCCAAAACTATACTTATACACGCATATTATATTACATACATTAATGTGTCACGTAGCTCTTGTTAAGGAACATTGTACTTGTTACTCTTATTGTTACTGTATTATTGTTGTTATTATTATTATTATTATTATTATTATTATTATTATATATCATATCATCCCTAACATATATACCTCAGCCGGATCGTCTTCATCATCATCGCGTACGATTATTGTTCTCGCCTCATTTTCGTAGAGCATCCAAAGGCTCCCCTTTTTTTTTTTTTTTTTTTTTTTTTTT